CCACGAGAAGCATATTACAAGGACTGCTTTTTTTTCTGAAGTCCTGCTGGCAGTGTATAATCTGAGATAGCTTGACTTTTTCTAAAGGATATGTGTGACCACCTGTGATTTCTAAATTGATTAGTTTATTCTTCTTTTAAGCCTCTACAACTATAACTTTCCAGAGCAGTAAAATAAAGGGTACATACTGGGAAATCTAGTAATCCAAATGAACAGACAGATTTTAGGGAAGCAGCAGGTAATGACCTCAAGGTTTCCATTTTTTGCAAAATGCATTGAGACAGGAGCTTTGAACAGCTCACATACAAAACTATTTGAATGCTTAGTAGCTACATAGTGATGAACAAAATATCTTTTTATGGCACAAATGAAATTATAACAGAGTGAACTATGTAGTACATAAATGTTTAAGTGAGCCCTTACATTTCAAGTGTTAATGCTACAAAGATTAAGACTGAAGCCCATGTAATGATAAGTTCGATTACCCTGGAAAATCAAATGGAGAAGGGTTCTCCAACTTACAAACCAAAACTTTACCAAGATGTGTAAAGACGTGGAGGGAGGACATTCTAGATATGGGGAGCAACAGATTCAGAAAAGGGAAGCACACACTCAGGAATGAATCATGAATTTCACATCTCTTCATGAGACAGGAACCAAAAATATGTCTAGGTTAAAGGAGAGCAATGGTGGCAGCTTAAGTAAGGAAAACTACCCAGAGACACAGGGCTAGAGAGGCCCAGAAAAGGCTAAAGAAGCAGTAGTGATTGAGAATGGTATCAAAGACAGAGCCAGAGAGGGAACACATTCGAACACTTGACATTATTTTCTTGATAGATTTTTAGATTACTTTTATTTTTTAAATTTCAGAGTGACACAAATTCTTCAGAACAAGCTAAGTGTTCCTGTTCCAAGGTATTATATTCGTGCTGAACAGCAGCAAAAAGTTCCCCATCTCTCTCAGCATGGAGACATTACAGTTAATTTTCACTGAAGGGATTGAGGAAAAACTCTTCCTATTTTCTCTTCTGTTTGGAGAAGAGGAGAGCTTTGGTAACCAGGTCATGAGAATCACTAAATTCATGAGTGAATTTCTGAGTTATATATGTGCCAAATTTAGAGGCACAGAAACCCATAAAAAAAAAGGTACAAATGGGACATGAGCTTTCTGTTCTGGCTGAATTGAGTTCTGTTGAACTCAGAGGAGTGATGAGAACATGCTCTGTTAGTAAGTGCAGCCAACTGCACCAGGGAAGCAAAAACAAACAGCCCTGTTTGCTAAGTGCAAAAGCGGAAGTGCAATTCGACTGGGCGTGAGCTGTTCTGAGTTCTTGAAATTGTGTGCTGGTCGCTTCCTTAGCAAAGTATGTGTGCTGGTCGCTTCCTTAGCTGGTAGCTTCCTCTGACAGCCTCTGCATGGGTAACAGGTGACAAAAGAAGATTTACTTCTACTCCCTTCACTATGGCAGATGGAAAACATCACTGGTGAACTTACCACATCATAACATTAGGCCTCACCTTCTAAAGTTTCCAGAGTACCACCAGCTGAGGCCACAGAAATTAACACAGGAACCTATTTACTATTGAATCTGTGAAAATGGTGGATAAGCTAGCAACATTTTAAAGTCACACCTAGTTACAGGGATGCAAAGAACAAATTGAAAATACCTTAAGACTTGGAACAACCCTGCAAAATTTGCTTTGTTACTTCTGTGGTAGTTTAAATAAGAATGGCCAACCCTCCACCCTTCAGTTCCAAAGAGTAGAAGTATTTGGGAAGGATAAAGATGTGAGGCCTTGTTGGAGGAAGTGTGTCACTGGGAGTGATCTTTGAGATTCAAAAGCCCAGGCCAGAACCAATCTCATTCTCCCCTCCCCCCACTTTCTGCCTGCTGCCTGTGGACAGGGTATATAAATAAGACTCTCAGCTACTTCTACAGCTCCATGCCTGTTTATTTCTCACCATGACAGACGACCATTTCCCAAGTTTTTAAAACTGTAAGGAGATTCTAATTCTCTAGTTAAATCATTTCTTTTTCCTTCTTTTATTTAAAATTGGGGACTTCATTTTGTTTCTCTTTTTAAATAAAATTTTTCATTTATTTTAAATACCAACCACAGTTTCCCCTCCCTCCTGTCTTTCTGTACCCTCCCTCCTCCCCTAGTCTACCCCTCCCCATCCACTCCTACATTCAGTAAGGGACAGAACTCCCATGTGAGTCAACAAAGCATGTCATATTACACTAAGTCAGGACGAAGCTCCTCCCCTTCATCAAGGCTGGGAAAGGAATCCTTGCATGGGGAATAGGTTCCAAAAGGCCAGCTCTTGTGCCAGGGACAGACAGGTCCTGATCCCACTGCTGGGGGTCCCCCAAACAGATCAAGGTACACAACTGCCATACACATGCAGAGGTCCTATGTTGGTCCCAGGCAGGCTCCCTAGTTGTTGGTCCAGAGTTCGTGAGCTCCCATTAAATGATTTCTAATAATTGCCTTAGTAATGGTGTCTCTTCACAACAATAGAACGCTGACAAGAAAACCTGTAAATTCACTAAATCTTTCTGAACATTAGTTTCCCCATCTATATTACTACTAATAATAATTTATAATAATGATAATAATAAACAATAATTTATGCAAATAATTTATTTAAATAAAACCTGTGACAACTTATTTTGCTGATTTTGATGTATATCTTTGATAGTTGAAATATGACTTCCCTTTTGCCTTTGAATTACTCTCCATTCTAAGTTATCCACACATACACAAGATTAACTATTCATTATGACACATCACAGGTTGTAGGCCAAGCAGATTTATATGAGAGATGAGGGAGGAAAGTGAAAGTACTTGGATTCTTTTCTGTCTGAGAAATCATCACTTGGGGGTCTGTTATTTTATTCCATCTCTGTGTATTGCAATGGGACTAAAAATGGTATCAGAACACATTCTTCCACAAATAAAGAGAGCTAAAAATTACATCACTCTATTGTAGTAAATATACTCAACACAAAACAGAATTAAAATAAAAATGCAACCAGCTACATCATGTCAGAAACAAGCCCGGGGCATGCTTGCTTGATTTCCCTTTTTTATGATGATTACTTTAATGAATACAAAATTAAATCTTAAGTTGTTTTACTGTTGCTAGGGTAATGTTCACTGTGACTATTAGATGATGCATCCATTGCTGATGTTGTTCTAGTATAAAATTCTTTTAAAATTAAGAAAAATATTGTTTGAGATTATAATATAATTACATCGTTTCCCTTTTTGCCTTTCCTTCCTCCTACCCCTCCCATACCTACCTTTATTTTCTCTCAAATTCAAGAACTTTTTGTTGTTAGGTGTGTCTGTTTCCTCCTAAATACATAAATATAACCTTCTCAGTCCATATAATGATACTTGTATGCATATATTTTCAGGACTAACAACTTGGAATTGTTTAATCAGTTAGTATTGCTCTTCCCCAAAGAATAGTATTTCATTCACTCTTTGAATTTCTTAATTCCCTATAGTCCTTCATCTAGGGTTAAGGCCTCATGAGTTTGTCCCCATCCACATTGGCATGTCTATTGGTGGTATATTTTTTCAGTTCTTGTTTAGGTAGTCATGTTGATGAGACTTCATGAGTATACATTCTCTGACATTTCTAAGAGATACAATCTCACAACAAACTTCCTATGGCTCTTACAATCTTTGCACCTCCCTCTTTCTCAGTAATCTTTGAGTCTTATGTACAGGAATTGTTTTGCAGATGTATCTTTTAGGATTGGGGTTCACTACTCTACATTTTTGTTGGTTGTGGTTTTAATAGTCCCTGCCCATTGCAAAGAAAGTTCTCCTTGACGAGGGATGAGGGATACACTTATTTGTAGGTGGAATGAACATTTAGAATGTAATGAAGGACTTTGCTGGTTTAGTGAAATATCAGCTATAGATTCTCCTCCAAGGTTCATGACTTCATTAGCCAGGCGTTAGCTGACTATGTTTCTAGTACCAGACATGATTTCCCTCTTGTTGAGTGGACCTTAAGTCTAAGTTAGAGAGCTGTTGGTTGCCAGCAGGATTGCACCCATGGGATTGTTGTGTCATGCTGGTTGTTGCTGTGTTTCATAGGCAGTATAGCTATCAGTTGCTGTCTTTCTCTGGAAGTTTGCAAGGTGCCTATTGGTACCATGAAAGCTAGTCTTAAAGGAAAAGGATTTCAGGTCAGATACATCTCATGTTTTCTAGGTCCAGTGTTGAAGGTGCATGGTGCCTTCAGCAATAGATACTTACCTTCCACCTCTTAAGCAACGACAACAACAATAGCCTATGTTTTGGGAATCTATTGGACAACCCCGACCAACAATTCAAAAGAGGCTTCTCATGCCTGGCATTGGGGTTTTGCTAGATAGTCGACGGTTCTTGCAAGGAGTATTGTCAGCCTGGATAGAAACATTTTATTTAAAATATATATGTATACCGACTTTCATGTATAATGATATAGAATTCTTCAGAGAGGGAGACCTGAGCACTATACTTCCATGATTACAGTAAGAAAGTAATCATAGTTCACTATCTAAACTCATACAGTATTGAAGTGTTTCATGTAAACTGAGAATGGAACACAAACCCAGGGAGTTAGGCCAAATTCAAGAGTACTGCAGAGTAGCAAGCTGTTATGATAAACTAATGAGGACATCATATTTCCAGGTTTACCAAGTCAGTTAGATCATTTTCTATGCTGGAGAACCAAGATAAGTAATATATTAATTGCCACAATGTCTTTGCCATGGTAAAAGCAATATAATAAATATGTCAAGGCACATTTCCATTGTTTCTTAATGGATTTACTGTGTAATGTTGGGCAAGTAGTGCATATTCATTGAGCCTCCACTTACATATATGTGAGCTGTCCCTAGTTGGAATATTGTATATCTCATTATAAAAGTGAGTCCTAAGTATCCACTGAAGTATTACTTAACCACTGTGCTTTTTAATTTTTGTTTGGACAGGAGCAATATTTCCAAAGCTCACCTTGATGAACATATTGAGATATTCAAGATGGGCAGCAATAGTACCAGCAGTGTTGAGAGTAATTGTGGTGTAAATGTGACATTTCAGTACTCTCTGTATGCAACCACCTATATCTTCATATTCATCCCTGGACTCCTGGCTAACAGTGCAGCCCTGTGGGTCCTGTGGCGCTTCATCAGCAAGAAGAATAAGGCCATCATTTTCATGATCAACCTCTCCGTGGCAGATCTTGCTCATATCCTGTCCTTACCTCTCCGGATTTACTATTATATCAACCGTAACTGGCCATTCCCGAAGGCACTTTGCCTGCTCTGCTTCTATGTGAAATATCTCAACATGTATGCCAGCATTTGCTTCCTGACATGCATCAGCCTTCAGAGATGCTTCTTTCTCCTCAAGCCATTTAGAGCCAGACACTGGAAGCGTAGGTACGACGTGGCCATCAGTGTTGCCATCTGGGTCGTCGTGGGGTCTGCCTGTTTGCTATTTCCCATCCTGAGAAGTGCTGACTTAGCTAATAACACAGATTCCTGTTTTGCTGATCTTGGCTACAAACAGATGAACCCAATTGTTATGGTCACAATGATTACAATTGCAGAGCTGGCTGGATTTGTGATTCCAGTGATCACCATCGCATGTTGTACCTGGAAAACAACTATATCCTTGAAACAGCCACCGATTGCTTTCCAAGGAATTAGTGAGAGGAAAAAGGCACTGCGGATGGTTTTCATGTGTGCTGCAGTCTTTGTCATCTGCTTCACTCCTTATCACATTAACTTCACATTTTACACCATGGTAAAGGAAAGTATCATTACCAGTTGTCCCATTGTCAAAAGTACACTGTATTTTCATCCTTTCTGCCTGTGCCTTGCAAGTCTCTGCTGCCTTTTGGACCCAATTCTTTATTATTTCATGGCTTCAGAATTTCGTGACCAACTATCTCGCCATGGCAGCTCCGTTACCCATTCTCTTCTCATGAGCAGGGAGAGTGGTTCATCAATGGTTAGCTAAAATGAAATAATTCTTCAGTTATTATTCTCTTTACTTATGCTGTTTGGCCTGTTCCAAAGGTAGAAAGTGCCAGACAAGCAATTTCTTTAATTGAACATTGGAAATAGCAAAAATAACTTTTACTGTGTGATGATTGTGGTCACAGGGTTGTGCCGCACACATGATCAAGGCACAATGTTAAAAAACTTGGGAGAAGAAAGGAAAGTGGGATCCATCTGCTTCTAATTTAAAATTCATGGCATTTTTTAAATTACAAGTCCCAGACCAAGATTTTACAAATGTTCCCAACCAAATATAAGTTGAATGTATTTAAAATTGTCTTTTGTAAATAGAAAAGTCCCGAAATGCATGATGCATATTAATCTTTACAGAAACGCAAATGTCTTCCATGGAATAATTTTATTTCTGAGTGGAATAAAAATTTCAAGTCTTTCTAAGACATAAAACACAGGTGAAGTGACAAAAAAAGTTAAAGCAGTCAATCTGCACTGGAATCTTGCTACTGAATGAAGGGCATGTAAATTCACTCCTTGAGCATTTATAGATGTCTATCATTTTCTGAACTGGTAATTTCCTATATATTTTTAAAAATAACAAGTCTTCTTACCTTTCTAATAGAAGTGACAAAAACAGAAAAGCAAATACAAAGGCATAAATGTAATATCATAGAGTTTAGTTAACTTGTCTCAGGATTAACAGTTAGGTATACATGGCATATGCTTATATTATTTATTCCCTCTGCTTATACTTTTATATGTATTATTTCAATACTAAGTTTGAGCTGACTGCCGAAGACACAAACTGAAGATAAGGACAGGAGATAAAGATCATTTTAACACAATTTTCTTAGTCTCATTGGAAAATCCACAGGTTGTGGATTAGCATGATTCTGACAATAGAGTCTTCTTTGATAAATATTTAGTTCTAATACTGTAAGGATCTGCATAGTCGCAATTAGAAGAAGTCCAGTAGTTCAAAGTCAATCTTACTGCTCAATGTAAGTCATGCAAATACCATAAAAACAAGGCTAGAAAAACTGAGTTACATTTTAAGAAATGTAGGTTTCTGTTTTAAAATTCTCTCATTTTTAAATTCATAAATATTACTACATGTCACCAAGCAAAATATCAAGATTTTTCAGTTTTCAAAACTCACAGAATTACATTAGAAAGAGCAAAGTATCATCACATTGTGAATAAATATGACAGGAATATGTGAGCTTGTTTTATTTTTTTCTGAATGCTGTAGATATTAGTTTAAGTATTCTTGTAGAGGATTTAAATACACGGGATTCCTCAGCTTCTCAGGTTGACAATTCAATTCACTGGTATTTTAGGTCCAAAATTTACACAGACATTTAGTCTGCATGCAAGAGAAGGAAGTGACAGTCCTTATAACATACCTTTGTGTAGACTACCTAAAAAAGAGGAAGAGACCACCAAAAGGAGGAATAAAAAGTAGAGTTCTTGGGCATGAGATACTTCTGTAATTATAAAGTAATAAAGAGTTTTTTACTTGGAAGTGTGTGTGTTTTATTAACCAGAATCTGCAGGTACTGTTTGCAGAGGGTTCTCAATGTGTCTGGGATTAATGGTAGCATTATCACAATCACTCTACCCACTGTTTCACTCTGAAGAGATGACTTTTCAAGAAATTCAATCACATATTCTACTATATAGTCTTTGTGGAGAATAAGAAAAATCAGCTCTCATAGTTTGCATTTGATATGTCTCCCTGCAAGTGTTGGGAGAAAAGTAGTGCTTTCTGCACAGTTTGTTGAATAGCATGTGAATTTAACTTTCATTTTGGCCTTCATTTAAAAGGAATATTTGGGCTTTTTTTTTGTTGTGAATTATGTGATAATAGAGGATAATGACAATGTCTAAGCAAGCAAGGATTTTTTTTCGAATTTCAAAGGCTGGAAAACTTCACATAATGTCAAGGCGGAAGGTGATAGTGATTGAAATAATAAGAATATTTTAAAAGAGGAGCCTGAAACCCAAGACAAGGTGCTCACAGTTAGTGATTCAATCTAACTTTCCATGTTAAAATAAAAAGCAATTAGCAAGGTTAATTTAAGGTATTAGAGAGGGTAGTAACTATGATAGTTATGATTATGTTTATTACAAACATGTGAGGTAAGAAGTAGGGGACAGCAAGTCATACAGTCTGGAACTGGCCCTTTAAAAAAATCAATTCTAGTTGTAACTGCTTTCTAGTATCCCCAAATATCTGTAAGATAACTGCTAAACTCCACTTACAAACCACATTGACTCCTATAACACTGACTACTTCTGGTAGTTTTGAAAAAGATGTAAAGAATATTTTAGCTCATAACTATATATATGTATATATGTGTATATATATATATATATATATATATATATATATAATGTGGTTTCTACATTATTAGATATGCTCTCTACTTTTTTAGGAGAAAGGGATTTTATTTATTTGGAGCATTGTTTGCTATTTTATTTATAGAATAGTAAATGCTAGAAAAGCACACAGGTATAATAATATTTTTCATTTCACTATGTGAGAATAACAACGTTTGTCAATGTTCTCCTATACCAATGTTGGAAAAAGTAACACAGAGTATTATAGTTTGAATAGAAAATAAGAAAGAAGTAATTGATAGTTTAAAAAAGTAAAGGTTTAAAATAAGAAAGCCTCAAATGCCAGGATCAGATCTGGAGTTTTAAGTGGTCAAGAGATACAAGGCTCATAATTAAAATTTTGAAAGTATAAATAATGTTGAGAATATAAGAATATAAACACAATCCTGGATATATATATATATATATAATCTTTTACTCATTCATTCTGAGGTTTAGCTTCTATAGGCAATTTCACAAACATATATTTGAGTAATGAGAGTAATGAGAGAGATACAAAAAATAACTATTGTCTATTATTCTGTATAGATATATGAGGGGCTTAATATGGATTTTCTCAAACTGATCTTCTTTTTACAATACCATCATGTATGTATCACAACTACTTCCAGTTTACAGAGTAGAAAAAAACAAAAAAGACGAACATCCTAAACAATAGCATATGCTCCTAATCACAACGAAATTCACTTCTTTGTATGTTACCTGAAAAAACAAAAACAATGATAACTCAAAGGAAGAGTATATAGTTAACGAATTACTGGCCCAAGATTTTTAATTCTGGAATTTGAAGCTTAGAGATGAAGTCTTTAATCATTATACTTTTAGACAGCATGTTATTATAACTGATAATTTATTTTTATATTTCATTTTACATTCCCTCCACAGTTCTTCCCCCAACCCTTCTCCTGACCCCCCCAGCCCACCACACCCACTCCTCCCAACAGGTAAGGGCTCCCATGAGAACTCTCTCAGCTCATTTGTTTTTTTTTAATTAATTAATTTATTTATTTATTAAAGATTTCTGCCTCCTCCCCGCTACAGCCTCCCATTTCCCTCCCCCTCCCCGAATCAAGTCCCCCTCCCTCATCAGCCCGAAGAGCAATCAGGGTTCCCTGCCCTGTGGGAAGTCCAAGGACCATCCACCTCCATCCAGGTCTAGCAAGGTGAGCATCCAAACTGCCTAGGCTTCCACAAAGCCAGAACGTGCAGTAGGATCAAAACCCAGTGCCTTTGTTCTTGACTTCTCAGCAGTCCTCATTGTCCGCTATGGTCAGCGAGTCCGGTTTTATCCCAGGCTTTTTCAGACCCAGTCTAGCTGGCCTTGGTAAGTTCCCGATAGTACAACCCCATTGTTTCAGTGTGCGGGTGCACCCCTTGCGGTCCTGAGTTCCTTGCTCGTGCTCTCTCTCCTGCTCCTGATTTGGACCTTGGGATTTCAGTCCGGTGCTCCCATGTGGGTCTCTGTCTCTGTCTCTTTTCATCGCCTGGTGAAGGTTAATATCCAGGAGGATGCCTATATGTTTTTCTTTGGGTTCACCTTCTTATTTAGCTTCTCTAGGATCACGAATTATAGGCTCAATGTCTTTTATTTATGGCTAGAAACCAATTATGAGTGAGTACATCCCATGTTCCTCTTTTTTTGTATGGCTTACCTCACTCAGGATAGTGTTTGCTATTTCCATCCATTTGCATGCAAAATTCAAGAAGTCATTGTTTTTTACTGCTGAGTAGTACTCTAATGTGTATATATTCCATATTTTCTTCATCCATTCTTCCATTGAAGGGCATCTAGGTTGTTTCCAGGTTCTGGCTATTACAAACAATGCTGCTATGAACATAGTTGAGCATATACTTTTGTTGTATGATAGGGCATCTCTTGGGTATATTCCCAAGAGTGGTATTGCTGGGTCCAGGGGTAGGTTGATCCCAAATTTCCTGAGAAACGGCCACACTGCTGCAGGAGGAAGCTTCTCCGAGGATGATTGAGGAAGGCACTGATCTATGAGTACAAGACAGTGTCATTGGAAGCCATTCTATTGTGATGTAATTATTATTGTTTAGAAAAGTAGTATTTGGTTTTACCTTATGTCTCTAGGCTATCTAGTTTCAGGTTCTTGGTCACCCAAACAGTGTCAGGTATGGGTTCCATCTCATGGAGCGGGCCTTAAGTCAAACCAGATTCTGGTTGGTTCCTCTCACAAGCTTTGTGCTACCATTGCCCTAGCTCATCTTGCAGGCAGATCACCACTGCAGATCAAAGGGTTTGCAGCTGGGTTAAAGTTTTCACTTCTCCTTTTGCAGCAGGCAGAGGATCTTCCTGTACCAAAGCATGTAGGGGTGAAGGCCTTATATATGTGCCAGCTCGACTTCTGCATGCCCAAACATTTGTACAGGTGTTGTCTTCAGCAGCTGGGCCTTGTCGTCCATTTCTGAAGAACAGCCCGCAGTCTTGGCAATAGTCTCTAATGTTTGGGGGTTTCCATGGGAGCCCTTTGGCCAATAACTCAATTAAATGTAACCCAATCCCAGCACTGGTAGTTTTGTCTGATGACAAGAGATGGCCAGTTGGAGATCTCTCTTCCCTGCTATTTTGTGATTTCA